GGACAGCCAGCCTCCAGGCTGAGGAGGTGCCGTGTGCAGCCCGAGCACGCCCGTGCCCGGGGTCCGCGGTTCGCAGGCCCCGCCCCAGCTTCGCGGCTGTCCTGCGATCGGGGTCAGGCCGTGCGCACGTCTCGCTGACTCCGTGTGGTGATTAATCTGTACCTTATTTTCTGCAGGGACCGGTTGGGTTCCCTCCCCCTCCCTCGGCCGCCGTCAGCACTTCGGTCAATGTCACTTTGCGGCCTGCGCCGCGGCGTCTGACGCCGAAGCCGTCCTATCGATCCCGCCGTCTTCCCCCGGCTCCTCGGGGTGTTTTTACTGTTTGAGGATGTTGCCTTCTGTGGCGAATCTAATCTTACGCTCCCTGCATCATTACCCTTTGCAATTAAATTGGAGGTTCTTCGCCATTTATAATCGTTAGCGGGAGCCCAGGGGAGGCCCCGAGGGGCGGGTCCGCGGGGTCCTGGACCCCGAAGCAGGCGGGGGGGGGTGCCCCCTTGTTTCCATGTGCGTTCATTCATCCCCAGGTTCCAGCAGCTTTCCCTGGCTGTGGAAATAAATAGCGTCGTTCAAGGTGCAGCGAGCGGCCGAGCCAGAGGAACGTGGCCGGGGGAACCGGCGCCCCCTCCCTCTGTCCCGACGCACTCAGCGCGGGAGCAGCTCTCCGGAGGGGAGTGGGCTGCAGGGACACACGAGCTTTTAGAAACGTCCTCATCCCAGGTTCCACTCGTGGGAGGGAGGGTCAAGTGCACGTGCGCGGGGGAGGGGCCCGGAGCGGCAGGACCGTGACCTGCGCTGAGGTCTGTCTGCTCCGCCTGGAAACGAGACACGTGTTCCTCGCTCGGGGACAAAGGCGGAGCGCGGTGGGGGCTGCGTGGCCCTCAGGGCGGCCTGGCGGGTGCTTGGCCCTGTCCCCCTCCTTGGGCAGGTTGGTCACCCTCCTCCACCGTGCTCGCCGTCCTCATTCTCCAAGGCCGAGGCTCTCTAGTTAGTTTAGGCCCCGTGATCAGCCTTGACACTGGGAACGTGAGGTCCAGAGCCTGACAGGCTGGGGTCAGGTGTCAGCCGCTGGTCCCCAGCAGCCTGCCACGGCGAAGGGGCTCACCCTGCCCTCGTCCCCGCGTCTGGAGTCCAGAGTGCCAGCTCCCGCGTCGTCCTCACGTCACGGGCACGTGCCTGGCCCTTCCGTGTGGCGACACGATCCAGGGCACAGGCCTCACTCCGGCCTCCCTCGCCACTCGCCGGACGTGGCGGGGTGGTCTCCCCGGCCTCCGGGCAGGGCCCCTGGGGAGGGCCGTCCCCTCACTGGCACCTGCCCCGGGCGAGGGGTGCCGGGCCCGTATCTTTGCCCCTTCTCTTCCCGGCCTTTGCACGTTCTCAGCAGCGTGGTTTGCAGAGCTGAAGGTTTCATTTTGTAACAGGCTTTGTTTTTTAGAGCAGTTTTAGACCCACAGCAGAATCGAGAGGAAGGTTCAGAGCCCCCGTGTTCCTCCCGCCCCGCCGTCGGCATCCCCTGCAGAGGGGGTAGCTGTTACCGCCGTGAACCTCCTTTCCCGTCGTGTGGTGTCTGAGGACCTTGAGAGCATGACAGCTCTCTCACGGTCTAATGCGAGAGAACAGCCCTAACGGTCAGAATGCCGGGTCAGCAGGCGGGAAGGGGCACCCCGCACCCGTGGGCCCCGCTGGCGTCGGCTCAGGTGGGCGTGCGGGTGCGCTGGTCCAGCTGCAGGTGGCTGCAGGACGCAGCACTGACCTAAAGGAGGAGGAGTTTCCATCACCTGATACGGCAGCAGACGTGGACAGAAGCGACACCAGGGCTGCTGAGCTCGGCGTCAGCCGGCGCAGGGACCCCGCCCCTCGGCGTGTTTCCGCTCTGCCACGGCCATGTGTCACCGTGTCACTGCTGTCTCCGCCATCACTGCAGGGCGCGTGCAGCCACTGCCGCCACCCCAGCCAGACGCCCACGTCAGCAAACAGGCGGCTCTCTTTCCCGCCTCTCCCCGTGTGTGAGGAGAGCCTTTCCTGGAAAGTTCTCTGTCCCCCGCTCAGGCCCGCGTGTTCCTGCCTAAAGCGGTCGTGGCAAAAGGAGCCCGTCGTGCTTGGCCTTGGGTGGTCCCTCAGGCCTGCGGAGAGGGCCTCAGGCCAAGGTCACAGCCCCTGCCTGGCAGTTCAGGGGTGGACACGTGCAGGGCTCCCAGGACTACAAGCCACAGCCCTGCCTTTGCTGTCCTCCTCCAAGGGGGTGGGACGGTGACACACTCAGCGTCCCACGCCCCCGGGTGCGGTCAGCGTGTGTACTCCGAGTCTGCCGTGTGCCCGCCGCGGCCTCCTCCGGTTGTTTCCCCGCCACGTTTGCCCGTTTGTCTTTGGCGGCCGCAGGCCCGGACCCCGGGGTGCCGTGAGCTGCTCCCGCGGTCACCGCCGCCGTCTGCCCTGCACAAGGCGCGCCCTCCGTCCCCACGCCGGCGCCAGTTCCATCACCAGAGGGGCTCGGGGGGCACCCGTAATCGTCCCTCCCAGCCTGGGAGGGACAGTGGCCCAGAGCAGAGACAGAAACCAGAACGACGCTGACACGTTCGGAGAACCGCAGAGCTGGCCACAGCGCGGCTATGCGGACAAGTCGGCCGTGGCCGGGAAGCCCGGGCCTCACGTCTGCCGGGCACTCTCGGCAGGCCACGTGGCTGGTCCAGCCCCCACCTCACAGGTGGGAAGACAAAGGGCAGGGACTCGCCTTGGTCACGTGGCCAGGGTGCAGGAACAGGACCTGTGCCCGCTCTGCCCCTTTGGTCACTTCGACACGTGAGCTGCCACGGCCATAGGCAAGTCTGAAGGTCGAGTTTAACAGGGGACTGGACGAGACTCGCCACCAACGTCCGAGGGCCCGCGCGGGTGACACGGGGCCCTGCGCGGTTCCTCGGGCCGGCGTTGGCACCTCAGTGACATGGAGACAGCCCAGCGAGAGCTGCAGAGGACGCAGTGCACGCAGCGGCCGGCTCCTCGGCACTCAGGAGACACTCTGAGAAGTCTTTAAAAATGTCGCCATCATCGTATTTCTTAATGAGGCCAGTCTCCTTGGCGAGGAAGTGGGGGGTTCTCCTCCCAGGCTTGTAGGCGAGTCCTCTTGCACTGACCGCTCGCTCCATCTCGAGTCGGGGCACTCTCGTGGTCCCGGTAAAGTGCTGAGGTGGGGCTCAGAGGCCAGGACAGTGACAGGGCCCGCGCACGGCCCCAGCGACAGCCTGACCCTCCCTCGGCCTCGTCTAGAGCTGCGGCTGGCCTGCCAGTCTCCTCCCTGGGCTCGACGAACGAGGCTGGTTTCAGGTTAAAGTGATGAGGTGACAGGCTCGTGTGCCCTGGGGACGTGGGCCAGAGGGGGCTCCCTGTGCCTCTGGAAGGCTCTGTGGATGGACAGTCAGCCCCAAATCGAAACGGCAGTGTGGCCGTTGCGATGCGTCTGTGCATCACCCCTGGGCGGGAGGGGGTGAGGTTAGTGGGGAGCTTCCCCCCACCGCGGCCCCCTGGCTTCCAGGAGGCGGAAGCTTCTGCCAGGGGCTGGCCCAGGGTGTCTCGGGAGGTCTCTGTCATTGCCGTTGGGGTTTGCGTGACACCCGTGTTGGCAGATTCAGGGCCCTTAGGATGGGGGAGGGGCGCGGGCCGAGGACACGCCCGTGTCTGGAGCTGGCGGGCGGCTCCCCCCTCGCCTGCGCCTGGCTTCGGGGACAACCAGATGTTCGCGCTCCGCATTGTTCCCTGGAGCCTGGGCACGCGGTCTGTAATCACAGCCGTGCAAGCCCCCTTCGACGGAGGGCCTGTTCACACGCCTTCCGTTCCCTCTGGGCTCAGGTGTCGTGTTCCGAGTACGCTCACGTGTCCTTGCCTCCACGGGGGGGACAGCGTCCGAGTCGTTTTCGGTGATTACTTTCGACGAGACCCTGTGGGTGCAGGACCCTCTCACCTCTTCTAAAAGGAGCTGTTCCTCTTCTTCTTCCTTCGGAAAGCTGGCCAGCTCGGCGTCCTTGGAGGGGAGGGGACAGCTGAAGTTCACCTCGGGACGGTGGAGCCCGCACCACAGCTGCACCCAGGTGGCCACAGCGAGCGACACCACTGTCCGTGGGTGGGACACGCGGACCATGAGGTCAGTGACACGCCCGGTGCCTTGTCCCCTCTCTGCCCCTCGTCACCCACGAGGGGCCGGTTCTGAGTCGGATGCTCTTAGGGCACATGGCTTGTCTGTCTGCGCCTCGTCTCTGTAGGAAATCCTCCCATTTTGCTTCTCCACGCAGACTCGAGCTGGCCGGTCTGTGGCCGTGGAGCCGCCCTTGCTCGGTGGCTGTTCAGTGCTCCGTGGGGGTGTCCCCTCACAGCGGCGGTCTGTAATGAAAGTAAGACCAGGCTTCACAACGCCGCACAGTGAGCTGGTGCCCGCCAGCTCGGCCTCCGTGGTCCGCGGCCGCACGCTGATAGTCTCTGTGCCCCGGTTGGGTTTGTGGAGTTGTCGCTGCCATTTCTGTGCCTCCAAGACCCTCCCCTACCGGGTGACCAGCTTGTCGTTTCGGTCGTCGTGCGCGACAGCCCGCAGTCCTAGCGGAATAAATCAGAGCGGCTTTCCCGTCCCAGGTGCGGTGCGATAGGCGGAGGAGTGATGGTGAGCACATCTGTTGCCGTGGCAACGGGCGCCGTGCAAGCCTTTAAGCCCTCAGCACACCGTAATTTATCACTAAGCCGCAAAGACGGTGTCACGAAATAACTCGTGTTGCCTTCAGGGGCGGGGCGCAGCTTTAAATTTAGCTCTGGGCCCCTCAGCCTCTCGGGGCTGGTGAGTGGTCGGCCACCACTGCCCGAGAGCCGTGGACACAGACCCGGCAGGACATGCGGGCACATCCGTCCCTCCAGGCCCCGTGCCATCTCGTGCCTTCCCCGTGTGCTTTAAAGGACCTGAAGAATGTCAGTGTCTCAAGGCAAGAAGCTGGAAGGCTGACACTGCACACCCCAAAACACACGTGGCGGATGTGGCTTTGGGGGCAATGCCTTGCAGTTCTCGCCTGTGTCGTGTCATCGCTTAGGGACGATGAGCAGCTAAGGGGACCGTGGCCCCTCTCACTGACCGTTACTTCTTCTGCGAACAGCTCTGGTGTTTAGTGAGCCAGGGTGCTTTTCGTGTTAGTTCGGGAATGTACTGTGCTTTTGTATTAAAATTGCCGCCACCAGGGCGTGCAGTAAACCCCTAGGAAATACTCGGCATGTGACTCCTCACACAGCTCCTGGGTTTTTAGCTTTATACATCCGCCTGTTTCACCTGGAAGATCTTTAGGTTTAGGGGATGTTATTTTAGGAAAGAACATTAACATCTTGGAAAGGCACAGGACGGAGAAACTGGTTCGAGGCTTAAAGGGCTTTGAGGCTGGAACGTGGCGCGGGGGGAGACGACGGGGCGAGTTTACCCACCGTGGGGAGCAGAGAAACGTGGAATAAATACAGCGACGAGCAGCGGAGCTGCTGGCGGTCGCCATCGCCACGGAAGCTGGGAGGCCGCCGGGTGACCAGGAGGGAGGGCGAGGCCGCCGGGTGACCAGGAGGGAGGGCGAGGCCGCCGGGTGACCCCAGGAGGGAGGGCGAGGCAGCCGAGTGACCGCAGGAGGGAGGGCGAGGCAGCTGAGTGACCCCAGGAGGGAGGGCGAGGCAGCCGGGTGACCAGGAGGGAGGGCGAGGCCCAGGCTGGGAGCCGGTGGCAGCCAGACGCGCAGGGCTGGTTTGGGCCGCTCTGGGCCTGTGACGTCAGAGGGGTGTGGCAGACCCTGCGGGTAGCAGCCTGGAGCAGTGAGCGATGTGCGTGAGACACACGTCCCCGCCCGCGCCACCTGCCTGTAGGTGAGTGGGCTGCCGTGGGCCCGGCGAAGGCGTCCGTGGTGGGAGCGGATGACGGACCAGCCGGCGTGACAGCTGTCCCCCTCCGCTGTCCTCCGTGGCTCCCTCTCTCGGGCCCAGCACTGCGTCCTGCCTCCCCGGCCCGTGTCCTTCTCCCTTTCCTTTTGCACAATGTCGCTCCAGACACTCGTCTGCATCCCACCCGAAAGCCTGTCTCTGCTCCTCCGTGGCCGTCACAGTCTCTCTGGCCCACGCTCCTTCTCAAGGGAACGTGTCACGTTTTGACAGCTGCAAACCAACGTCACCTCCGTAGCCCGCGGAGGATCACAGATGCAGAGAAACGGCAGCCTGCGTCTCTGCGCTTGAGGGGGCTCTGGTGTCAGCAGCCGCTTCCGGTGCCGAGCGGGCCTGCGGAGCGGGGGGCCCTGGGCCCGGCTGCCGGCACGGTCCGCGCAGGCTCCGGTCGCCCACGCCCCGTCCGTGTGGCCCTCTCTGCCCCAGCCAGGTTTACTGCATCGAGAACGCCCACGGGCAGCTGGTGAGGGACGTGGACTTCAACCCCAACAAGCAGTACTACCTCGCGAGCTGCGGGGACGACTGCAAGGTGAAGTTCTGGGACACCCGCAGCGTCACCGAGCCCGTGAGGACCCTGGAGGAGCACTCTCACTGGTACGGCTTCCCCGTGTGCCGCTCAGCGAAGGGATCGTGTGATTTATTTTGCTAATTACTTTACCATTCGGAAAGGCGCAAACCAGCTCCGTTTGTGCTGCTGGGACTCATTCAATCAACCCAGTTTTTTTTTTTCTAAAGAAACACTAATTCCAGATGTGAGTGTTTGTGATTTATAAACAGAGAGAGGAAGAAAAACATTAGATTCCGTCTTCTCTTAAAATAGTGCCAGTTCAAAGACGCAGAAGCGAACGTGCACGGATGCTCACATGGCTTTGCGCGTGGCGCAGGGGCCCGGCCGAGGGTTCGGTTCAGTCGGTCAGTGGCATCCGTGCGGTGGGGACCCTGCCACTGTGACAAGGACTGAGGAATGGCTGTGTGGATGGACACGGACAGCCTGAGAGGGCCATTCCTCCTGAGACGTTTGCACACCAGTGTGATGCTTTTCCTGAGTCAGGGAGAGAGCAGGATGTAGAATAGTGCACACAGGATGAGCCAATTTTTATTAAAATAAAGCACGTGCACTCAGGTGTCTTGTGTACCTGATTGCGTGTGTGCATGTTTCTTTGTGTGCAGGATTTATGTGCATGCTTATGCACGTGCGTATGTATACACGTGTATATTTGTGTCTGTACTTTGTAGTACATGTGTATACATGTGTGCGTGCATGTGTGCTTGTGTATACACACCCACATTTGTGCATCCTTGTGTGTATACACATGCATGTGTGCATGTTTGTATGTACGTATACACACACATGTGCATGCTTGTGTGTGCATGCTTGCCTGCATGCGTATACATGAGTGCATGATTGTGCGTGTGTATGCGTGTGCATGCTTGCCTGCACGTGTATACATGTGTGCATGCAGAGGAAATGCCTAGAGGCATCTGAGCCAAGCCGATGTCAGGAGCCCTCGCGTAGTCCGGGGGGCACGTCCCGGGAGAGCCGACTATAGTCTCCGAGTTCTTTGAATTACCAAAAGCTATATCAGAAAATTTAAAATCAGCAAGTTTAAAAATCCGGATGCTTGTGCTCAGTTGTAACAGATTCAGTGAGTGGCCATAATTGCTGCTGTCCGTGCAGAACGCCTGTCCTCCTGGCCCCTACGTGTGGGCTGTTGGGCGCTCTCCACTGTCCTGTGGGCCCGCAGCCGCCCGGTGTGGCGGGCACTCAGTACTGCAGGCTCGGGCGTGTGTGGGCGAAGAGGCCCGGCGACCCCGACCTGGCCCCCACCTGCCCCCGCACTGCTCCTCCTGGGCAGGGCCCGGGGTTCGGCTCCAGGTCATGAGTGGTTTCTGGACCACATTTTCAGGGTTTTAGGGAGCCTGTGCGCAGTGTTGGGCAGGCAGCCTTTTTGCCCCGAGCCTTGTGCCCCCACTGGGCCTGTCTGTTGGGGTGTAGGGGCATGCACTCAGCCCGTCCTGTGCTGGACGCCACCGTGGTCGGCGTGCCTTTGGAATGGGTGCCCGGCGGTCCCCGGGGCCCAGCCCAGCGGCGTGTCCCTGTCCCCTGCCTCCCAGGGTGTGGAGCGTCCGCTACAACCACTCGCACGACCAGCTCGTCCTCACGGGCAGCAGCGACAGCAGGGTCACCCTCTCCAACATGGTGTCCATCTCCTCCGAGCCCTTCGGCCACCTGGTGGACGATGACGACCTGAGTGACCAAGAGGAGCGCCGTCCAGAGGAGAAGTAAGCGGGGCCGGGGCTGCGGGCGCTTCCCTTCCTGCGGGCACCCGGCCTGGCGGCCTGGGCGTGCGGTGTCAGCCCCCAGGGCGGGTCCGGCAGGGACCGAAGGACACTATGTTCCTGTCTGTAAGTGCCGACGGTGACCATGATGGGAACCAGCGTTCACGGGGCGTCACGGTGGTGAGAGTCGTCATCATCAGGGTCCTTCTTCGCTGTCGTGGCTTTGAGTGTGTGATTCAGAGTTGCAGGCTGTTTGGCCTCTCGGGCCGGGGCAGGGCGGGGACTGTGGGCCACCCTCCCACCCCTAACGCTGGCTGGGTCCCCAAGACTCCACGAGGCATGGTGCTTGATGGGCGTCTTCACAGACGCGCTGTCTTGCAGTGTACCTTCCAGAGCTGTTTCCCAGCGCTGACCACGCGACGGGGTGCATGCCCTGAGACACGTGCAGGGCCTGGGGGCTCGGGGTGTGTGCAGGTCAGGCTGCTCTTCATGCACAGTGGGGCGCCCGGCCCTTGTCGGGGCTGCATCTTCTCTGCGTGGGAGAGAGGGGGGGCCTTTGCCGGCCGTGCGGTGTGAAAGCAGACCTCTGCTTCTGGAGTGGGTTCGTCCGTGGGGGGCGTGAACACAGCGCACACAGGACCCCAGAGGTCATGTCCCCGGACTCCTGAGGCGAAGATTCTGGAACAGTCTTCCTTGAGTTGACGTTTGAGCCGTACAGTCAGCAGCCGTTGGCTCTGCATCTTCCCGCTGTCGGTCCTGGGAGCTCTTTCCCCGCGGCCTGAGCCTGGCCGGGAGCTGCCGGGGACGCCACCGCACTCGGGGCGTCCTCCACAGAGCGACCTGCGACGTGTCTGTCTCTCGATTCAGCTGCCTTTCTGCTCAGCCGCGTGGGAGCACAGCCTCGGGGCACACTCGCCGTGCGTTCAGCCAAGCGGTCACCGTCACGCAGCTGGACCAGGCGCCCCAATGTCCCCTCTGCTCGTGGCCACGCAGGAGTCCGTGCCCCGTCTCTGTGGGTGGAAGCTGGTTGGCCCCTTAGCTGGCATCTGCGGGCTTCTCGCGCATCTTGCCGTCCACACGGTGGCTTCGAGGCACGTTGGGAGGGAGGGAGCACTTAATGGCTGGCAGTCCGGCCAGGAGCGATGACACCGCCTGGTGTCCCCACGATGTCCTGCAGCCCGGCTGCTGCGGTCTGTCCACAGGCTTACTAAATTCTGATCAGAATCCCCCGAGAGGACGTCACGCGGTGTTTCTGACAGCAGCTGGCGACCGTGGCGGGCCCCCTCGCGGGAACCGGGCCGTGGCCCTGCGTTTCGGCTGCGTTTGGGGCACCACGCTGGGTCAGGGCACAGCAGCCTCTGCCCGCGAAGGATCCGGGGGCCCCGGAGCACAGCGCACACCGAGCACAGTGTGTTTGTGAAAAGGAAGAAAAGTGCCGAAGCAGCGTGTGCCGGGTCGATACGTGTCCCCTGCACTGTGTGCGTGTGTTGGGGGGGCCAGGTGTGGCCCTCAGAACGGGAAGCCTGCGCAGCCCCGAGGTCCCCTCGCTCACGTGTGGGCGTCGGCACGCGAGCGTCCCCTGGTCCCGCTGTGTCTCGTTCAGAGGGAGGTGACGGGGACAGTGGCCTGTCCAGCTCCTCCGCAGTGAGGCTGGGCTGGGCTGTCCCTTCCGCTCAGGTGTCACAGGCAGGTGTCATTCTTTACGTCAGTTTCTCAGTTCCCCGATCATCTCCCAGCCAGCGCCCCCAGCCGAGGCGCCCCTGGCGGCTGTCCCAGGGCCTGTTGCCAGGTGGCCCCTGCGGCCTTGGTCAGCTTCCTGTGCCCCCGCGGCAGCCGCCGTTGGCCCCGCTCGGGCCCCCTGGCCTTCCTGCCGCGTGGCGAGGAGGCCGCGCCGCGCCGCCTCACGCACGTCTCTGGTGCCCTCCAGGAGCCAGGAGCCCCCGCAGGACAGCGTCATCGCCACGTACGAGGAGCACGAGGACAGCGTGTACGCCGTGGAGTGGTCCTCCGCCGACCCCTGGCTGTTCGCCTCCCTGAGTTACGACGGGCGGCTGGTCATCAACAGGGTCCCCCGGGCGCTGAAGTACCACATCCTGCTGTGACCCGAGCTGCCCGTCTGGGCGCGGTGCGGTCGTGTTCCGGACAGGGTCGTCTGCGGCCGCCGGGCTTTCCTCTAGGGCGGGCGACGGCAAATGACGATGGCACGTCTGCCGGTGCCACAGCCGACCCTGAGTCAGGTCGCCCGAGCCGCACTGGGGCCGCCGTCCGCTGTCCTGGGGCCGCCCGCCGGTCACCTGCCGGTCGCTGCTCACGCTCTCTCTTTCTCTTGAGGACGTTGGGGTTTCACTTAAAAAAACTTTGAAAAAAATCTAAAAATAGCAACTTTGTTTCCATAATGTTAAGTTGCCTTTCTCTTGAGACTAAAATGGAATAAATACGCAAGGCCGTCACCCTGCACGGGCTCCTGCTCATTCTTCCAGGGACTGCCCCCACGTGGCCTCGTCACCGGGTCCCTGTTCATCCTCTCGGTCTGGGCAGGGGCCAGAGCACCCGCCCCACTGCCCCCTCCGGCCACAGCCCGTGGGAGCTGCCCCATATCCTGGGTCTGACCGGCTCGCGCCAGGCCCAGCTGGGAGCCCTGCCCGTCAGTGGCCAGGTGTCCGTCAGCCTCAGCACCCAGTCCCCAGGAGCCCTCCTGTGCTGGGTCCCCTCGCGTTACTGGTGGCATGGGTGACGCGGCTCCTCGTCACCGGCAGGCACACTGTGCTCCCAGGTCGCCCAGCGCTCTTGCCCGTCGCCCCTCCTGGGGTCTGCCGTGGGCACTGGGCCCACACTGGCTAGAGGTCCCTGCAGGGGCCGGGCGTCCCCTGGGACCCCGGGTTTCCTGCACTAATGAGAGTGAGGGACAGGAGCTGCTTTCCGGCTCGCTTGGGGCTCAGGTCGGTTCTTCCCAGACAGGCCTCAGGCTGCAGCCTGACTCATTCCCAGTGGCCGGAGCCACTGCTGTCCCTGGAGTGTTAGTGTGTCATTCCTGAGGAGCATTCTGGGTTTCATTTCTTCTTTTCAAGGCTGAGAGATTGTGGGGCAGAGTGGGGGCTTTGGGGTATGTGAGGACAGGTGGGCTGTGGGGGAGGGGCCGTGCATG